GGGGTTTCCGTTCCCAACATTCTATAAAGTTTTGCCCCTGAAAAAATAGTATAGACCTAAAATATGTTGAAACTGGCTACAGAGAAATAAAATGCATCCAGAGTACTTGTCTTTTAATGTCAAAATAGATTCAGAGAAAAAAGGGATACACAGTTAATGTCGATTTGCAGTCAAGGTGGGAAAAACCAATCCCGTCAAAAATGACGTTGATCATGTGTTGTAGATATTGAACTCCCAAAAGCAAAATATTCCGGCACAATCAAGCGCGCATCTCTCCCAATGTATTAATCCATCTGGAATATTATATTCATTGAAGGCCTCTGTTCATGACATTGTAAAGTCATATAAACAAGGCGGGTTTAACTCCTTACTCAGCTCCAGGGAATCTCATCAAAAAAGTGTATGAGGTATAAGAAGAGGACATTGAAAAAACAATGACGTTATCGGACGTCATGAAAATAAACGACGACAGCGCCGGGTTATCATATTATGTTGTTTTCATTTTATAATAATTCGGCAAATAATGAACATATCAGGCTAAAATTTTGAACATTTCTTAAGTTTGTGTTGCTTTATGTTCCATATGAATTTTGAAAGCGTAGACTGCATAGTACTAATTTTATAGCCTCAGTCCACGAACTTTTTGATAACCCCTCGTACATAGCAATTAAAGAAAAAAAGCAGATTAACTGTTTCAGATGGTTCTTACATGTACACTTTAAAATGTTTGAAGTGAAGGACTGAGCACTCCCTGCCGACCGGTCCAACCCACCGTATGCTCCTTGTCATGATCGGGCCTGGTGGCCATAAAAGGTAGACGAGCCCAGTTTTGATCTCAGTCTCACTTTTTCATTCCTTAGAGAAAAAGTGAGACTGGGATCAAAAGTGAGCTCGTCTAACTTTAAATATGCCCCCAGGCCGGGAAATAACGGAAAATCCTTCTTCAATTTAAGGTTTTTCCACCCTCACAATTTCAATGGTTCAAAGTACAAAAACTGCATTTATTTTCATTTATTATCGTTTAAATTTACCAATAGTCGCAAAAAATGTAGGACGCCGTATTATTTAAGACGGGAGACATAAATAAACAGAAGTGTATGTTAACATAAAAAAAATCGTAAATTCTTTGAAAATAGTATTGCAAATATTATGTAAAAACTGGTTCAAATGCATAATTTTGATGCTAAAAGTTCCAAAATACTTGTTACTTATAAGATAATTTTGAAATGTGAATATCAGGTAAACATTAAAAGTACAATAAAGAAAATATCTGAATGAAGATGTCTGAGAAAGGGTTTTTGCCCTTGTCACAATTTTTTAAAGATTGAATAATTGATTAAATAATGAAAATATTCATTTTTAAGTTCTATTACCTAACAATATTTATCATTACACCCATTGAAAAGCATTCTTTCAAAATACTTTGTTCTATTGGGTATGCATTTAAATTAATAACAGTTTTTGCAAAAACCTATGACATTATAGGAGGGTGGAAATACCTTAAATAGTGTGTAAAAATAATGGCCAAACAATTAGTATGAAAAAACGTCAGTCAGCATTTGACGCAATGATACATTGTAATTGCTGACAAGGACATTGTAACGACCATATAACTTACAAAATGATGGCTTTTAACGAGACTGCTGATATTCTTGTCTCATCAACTTGTTTGTCAATAATTTACCTCGTTTTAGAAATTGTAAATACATAGAGCGTGCTCTTGAGTAACGAATCAACTGAAAGATGTAAACTCCGTATGCAGGTGATAAAGGTATATTGCTGCATAAGAAAGGGAGGTTGACAATTGAAAAGTTAAAATCTTCACGTTTATCGTTTGAGAGATCTTGGTTGTTAGATTGCCATTAACGTCTTTTTCAAGAGAAATATCCAAATATGAAAGACAGTTGTGTCAGACTCTGTTGAATCTTTTATCTTAAGCTCACCGGGATATATTGTTTCGACATTAGAATGGAAATAACCATTGTTAATTTACAATACATCGAGTTGAAGACCACAGCGAAAGTTTTTTTTCTTTTCACGTAAATTCTACTTCATATGAATTCATACAAAAATAGGTCAGCTATTAACTCCAGGCGTTTTGATACCCATGGAAATTCCAATAAATTGTTGGAAGACCTGGTCTCCAAAAACTACATATATATTGTCAATCAGAAACTCAAGTATCTTTTGATGCCCCTAATGCCAACTTCAGAGTACTTGTATGTAAATCAGAATGTTTTTAACAGAATAATTTTGCAAATGACCGATGACAAAGTACGTAAATTAACGAGTTCCATTGTTATTGAAAAAGCAGCTATTAATCATATCAAAAAGCCTGGACTTTCATTTATCGTGGGGAATGGTTGTGTATAAAGTTGAAAAGTCCTAAGTTTTTAAGCTGTTGATTGTGGTAAAATCTTGTAATTTAAAATTTTCCAAAAGTTCGATCCTTGGAAGTTTTAAGTATCCACATCTGATTTACACCACTTCTCGAATATATTGTTGCACAGTACTCTTGAAGTTTCTCCTTCACTGCTGTTAATATCTTAGTGAGGAGTAAAGAAAGAGTCTTGGTTGAACATTTAATGGAACCTGCTACTAGTATGTATATTTGTTTGTAAGGATTTTTATGAAGTTATTACAAGATAAATATGGTAATTCATTCTTCTAGATCACCTGCACACAAGATTCTTGCACGCTTGTTTTGCGCGAAAAGTTGCACAGTATGCATTAAGTGCTTTATACACGTCTGACGATTTTGCTCTAAAAAAAAGAAAATCCAATTATAAAGTCACATGTTTCAACGTTATCAGATGAGAATCAGCACATGATATCTTATCTATTCATTTCATCTACAGTCTAAGTATTCTGCAGCTATATTGAAGGGGGAAAAAGTAAAAATTTCGGTACGAAAAAAAAAAAACTTCCAATAAGAATCAACCAGATTCTATATTTAATTATCATGCCTTAGAAAAGGGCAATATATTCATAATGAGGTCAAAGTCCCCTTTTCAATGCAGTAGCCAGGTTATTTAAAGCTCATATAAATGTCGATTCAATATATATATGAACATCTTCGTGAATTTTATTGGGACATCAAATTATTCTAGTCATGACTGAAGAAAAAAGTCTTTTGTTCTTAACATAAAGCATAATTATATATTGAGTTATAGGAAAATTATTGCACCAATAACTATATATATACAAGTACTTTTAACCAAAAAAAAAATTAAATACAGATTGTCTGTGTATATAATAAATCATACAAATGCAATGTGTACATAAAAAATTCAGAATTGTATCAATCTCTTGCTCGATCATAATTATTTTCAACATTTTCAATGATATAACTAATAATTGAACAAGTCTAATTAATTATATGGAATATATAAATCAGATGATATTGCACTCTTCCGTGGCTCTTTATCCCATCTCTGCTGTTTTATAGATCCATCTTTGCTCTGCTCTCATTGTATTGTCACAAAAGACTTGAAAATTGTCTTATCTTCAAAGAAGAATGGGCGTATTTGGCATGTGATCTGCACGAATCATTTGTACGTAACATTAAATATGTCCATGATTTGGTTGGCTGAACACAGCTGGTCAGATTTTACAAACACAACTATAGCATAGGATTTTTTTCATTTACATTGTCAAATTGCAACATTTATGACCATATTTCTTAGGAGGTACAATAACATAGTAATGTTTCACCAAAAAATAAACACCTATAAGATTAAGGCATAGTTGATAAGTGAACATGTACATCATAGAATAGAAGATTGGAATTGATTTCGCTCTAGAATCAAACTGGACCAAAACTTATCTAATTCAAAAGTTTAATATATCAGTACATAAAATGAAACTGACAAAATAACTGATTGTTTGCATTTAAAAAATAACTAATATAACGCCCCATGCGAGGCTCGAACCAAAACATTTCACTTCTAGTGCACTGCCACTGAACAGGTAACGCATATTACTGATCTAGCTATCACAATTGGATTTTTTGGAAAAAGTTCATTTTTATGGTCTCTGGGTCTTCTCTCCATTTTTTACAAATGTATATTCGTTTCTTTGAATTAAAATACACGCAAATAACGTTTCAAAATCATGGAGAGAAGACCCAGAGATAGAAAATTTTAGAAAACATGTTTAAAAATGTACCATTTTTTAACTAAAATTTAATGTTTGATCTCGCCGATTTTCAAGTTAATTTTTAGCAAATCAAAATTCACTTTCGGGAAAATATTTTCCATTGTTATTGCACAGGAACCTGATAAATAAAAATTATGTTAAAATTTCATGTGACATGTTGAAAAAAATTTAACTTGTCAAGTACGCCAAGATTCCTGCCGAATGCCAAGCAAAAGCGCCCTCGTTCTTTCAAATTTCATTTTTTTTTTTTTTTTTTTTTTTGTATTTTCATGTATTTATAAACGTCAATATTTTAGTACCTATTTACACAAAATATCAATAAAAAAGATAAATTCTAAGAAATAATTAAATGAAAAAAATAAATAATGTCGATCTTGATAATTTTTTCATATATCTTTAGAGATCAGTGTTTGTTCTGCTCCAAATTTGTATTGTCCAAATGAATTTTTGGGCTTGGTAAATGCTGTCCACTCCATATATTTCCCATTCCACTATCCCCCTTTTTTTGGGTTTATTTTTACATGTCTAAACCATAGGGACTTCCCATCTTAATTGTTTGAAAAATTTACATCTACTATACTAAAAATTAGTTAAAAAACTTGGAGTATATAATTGATGTAAATTCTTTAAACAATTAAGATGGGGAGTGCCTATGGTCTAAACCAAAGGCACTTGTTTCGGAAATAAATTTTTAACCCATACTATGGTACAAACTTCAATATATAAATAGCAATTTATTTAATTATACAATCTTTAAATAAAAAAAATCATGTCGAAAAAAAAAGTTTGTTATTTTATCGGGATCGATGTTTCGTAAATTCCGTAATGAATTTTTGTCGAAGTGAAAGTAGGCACATGTGACGCAATGGCTTCATTTGATGTTGAAGATATTTTTGATCAGGATATTCCAGATGTTGGCACAGGTTCAAAAGAAGTAGAAAAACAGAAGACAAATCTTCAAAAGGTAAGACGACTTACAAACAATTTGTTACATTTCTCGACGTGATTGAATCAAAGTCACAGACCCACAGACATTTGTCAAGTTGTTTCATGTTCAGGACACAAATGAATAATTATGTCGTCTCTGAAATTTTGAACATCCCTACACAATAAAATATGTATTATCGTTACATGTATATGTGATCAAAAGTAAGAAGATGAAGTATTGATGATGATTTTGTGTATTAGATGTGTGCAAGACGATGACCCTTGTAGTATATACAGAAGGAATTGAATCAGGACATGACTTAATCAATATCTGCATTTTTAGCCCCTCATTGACAACTCGCAATGCCAACACCTGTTTACGAGTAAAAATATAGTACGTATGCCTAGACGCTGTTGAGAAACCTAAATCCATTCAAACACATAAGAAATCGCCAAAATATTAAATTGTTTAATACAGGAATTCAAAAGGTGCTCGCCCCCATATTCTATGTATAAAGATTGTATGTACTATCAGGCTAACACAAACATTAATGACTTGATGCCAGTGTATATTTCAATTATTCTTGCTGTGTATATATAAAACCTCGAAACGATACATGTGATAAAAACGTTACATATATTATTCACTAAAATATATTTTAAATGCAAAATTAATTTATGATTTATAATTGATATTTATTATAAGTAAAATAAAATTAATATTTACGATTGTGTGTGTAATATGTTGTTATTTGTTTGGGTTTTTTCATATATAAAGTAAATACAATATATGTATGAAATATTTATTATTTCCTTAGACTTTTTTCTTATGAAATAAAGCAAAAAATGCATTATATTGTTTTAAATTTTTAACTGTAGAATATGTCTAGGTAAATCAAGTACAATGTTCTAAGTTGAACAATCTTAATTATTTAATGACATATTAATGATATTCTATTGACGGCTTTTAGGAAACTTATGAAAACTGAAATGAAAACATCAAACAGAATTTTAATGAAATCCCCAAGCTCACAAGTAATTTGGAACTTCAAAGTGATGATCAATTAGGACAAGCAAGCCAAGAAAATTATGTATATTTAGTTGACCAAAAATTGGCTTGTCCAAGCTCCAAAGCAGCTTTAAAGTAATGAAGAATTAGAGCATGCAAGCCCTGAAAATTACGTTTATACAGTTGATAAGAAAATTGCTGTATCCAAGCTCCGAAGCAACTTGAAAGTGATGAAGAATTCAAGAAAGCTTGAGTTGGAAACAAATAATTTAAAATATAAAATCACATTCAAATAATTCAATAAAAAAATATATTTAATATTATATAAAAAATAAACATTTTAATTTCATAGAAAAAAATTATATTAATCGTATCTTCTCCTTTTTTAAGCGCAATGTTATAGGCATGAATGACCGCAAATATTGATGAATTTAATCTAAAACATATTTCTTTTTCAGGCATCTCACGTGAGGAGAGGAGTACAATTTTTTAGCGTAACTGACACCAGAAACATTTAAAATAAAAATAAATATCGAAATAATATGAAAATATATATATTAAATAAAAAATATATACATTTATATAAAAAAAAATATCGCCCCCAATTTGCTTTCTTAAAGCTGGGGGCGAGTTATCTTAACCTGGGGGCGAGTTGTCTTAACAGGGGGCGAGTTGTCCTAAATTGGGGGCGAGTTGTCCTGAAAAGGTGGCGAGTTGTCTTGGGGGCGACTTGTCTTGTGGGCGAGTTGTCCAGCATTCGAACAGAACATGCCTTGCTTTGAATCAAGCTGTTCAATATATAACATCGATGGATGACAAAATTGCAATAAATGGTTTATTACAAGAAAAGGGTGCTAGTCAGTGCAATTCAAAACCAGAACTCCCCTTGTGTATGCATCGAAAAGTTTTTTATAAAGGTGCCCATGTACTTGTATTATCGTTAAAATGATGTGGCGAGTGCTTATTCCTAACCAAAAGATAAGGTTGAACTTCCTGGCCAGTGTCCATATTAGACTCCCATAAATATCGTTGATGATTCTATGCTTACTTAACAGAATTATGCTTTTTGAAGATTTTATTATTACATCATAAAACTTATCAATTTTGTTTCATTGTACAGGATGGTTTTCGAGCAGGCCTCTCTGCGGGTCAAGAGGAGGAGCTTCAGACAGGGTTTAACAAAGCCTTCTCCCTGGCTGTCACCTTACTACAGAAAGTATCGACTGTCAGGGGACAGATCTGGTAAGTCTACTACAGACAGGGTTTAACAAAACTTTCTCTTGGGCTGTCTCCTTACTACAGAAGGTACCGTATAGCAGGTTTTCTTGGCAGGTGTAAACTTTGGCTTTTTGCCTGCGCAAAGGTATGCCAATAATTTTGGCGTACTTTATTTTAGCGGACAGGGTTTCAGCACTTTGCAGGTGATCACGAAGAAGATTTTAGTAATTATAATTTTAACAGACTACTATCAAAATGCCAAAATAAGCACCACACTAAAATAACCCGATATACGAGGGTTGTTCGAAAAGTTCGTGGACGATGTCAATCCTCTTTATATTACTCACAAGAAATTTAAAATAAGCACATTATAATATGTAAAAATATTTGTTTTGTTGATATGAGAAGTTTCATTCCATTCAATGTAACAGAAATCAATTTACTTCATTTTAAAATCAACATGTTTTGTACCCGCGGAGCACACTTAACAGCAAGGTAACGTCAAAACATAGCGTCGAGAATTTCTAAAAAATGCTATCCCAATACATTTTACACAGTATGACACAATGCCCAATCATTAAACTCTTTTACCAATACTTGACATTTATTTTTTTTTTTAAGAATTGCTCTCGATGTATAATTTTCTTTTTTTAAGGTTTTTATTTCTTTTATAACTTACTGTGCTTTCACGGGATAAGCAACTCTGAAGCGCCTATGTCTTTCCTTGATGTTCTAACATTTTAAAGTTTTGTTCAGATTTTTACAGCTAAACCGTTTCTTCACAGATCATGATCATCCTCATCTGATACAGCGTCTCTGTCACTGCGCCTGTACTATTTGTACACAAAAATGCAAAATTTGCTTGTGACATATTTTCTTGATTCCTCCAACATTTGTAGAGTTTATTCAGAATTTTTCTTGAGTAAAACACAAATTTCATCGTTATCCGCTGCTCCGTGACTTTCTAAAACGTCATCGTTTTTGTCATTTTTAATAAGGACTACCTATCTTCTCAAGTTGATTTCTTTTCAACAAAGCAAAATTGAAAACCATAATTTGGTTTTTTGGCGAATCGGTGTAACAATTCTAAATTTGAATTTCTAGGTTGTTTTCCGTTTTTGCTCCATTTTACAAAGAATATGACTACAAACATTATAAAGTGTATTGTCTGTAAATTACTAAATTTTGACCTGCTCCGCGATCCGATTTTTGCATTTTTAAAATAAGTATTGAATAAGTCGTAATATTTTGAAAAATTTTAATACAAATCATTTGGATTTATTTGTAAAATATTTCTACCAAATTTGGATAACATATGACGTCAAATAAAAAAGATATGACAGTTGTCCACGAACTTTTCGAACAAACCTCGTATGGTATCTACTGTCCAGGGACAGATGTCTGTCTACTTCAGATGAGATGTACCAGACATTCTTCAGGGCAACAGTCTTAATTACAGGAGATTTTTTCTGCTCTCAGGAAACAGATTTAGCAAGTTTACTGTAGACAAGGTTTAACCAAGGGCACAAATTGACCAGATTTTTTCCTTGCAGGGATTTTCCACTACCCCATGTAGGGCCGAATATGGGCCCCATTCCCAATTGCAAATTCCTTTTATTTTTCCCAAAAATGAACAGTATGTGTTCAATTTTTGAATGCACAGAAACTCTACAAAGTTAACTTGATCAAAATTCATGTAAAACAAACATGGTCAGATGTGAAATCTGAATGAAATGAACAAATTTTGAGGAAACTTGACTAAAACTTCATAATAATTGATCTATTCTCTGAATCATAGGTCTGAATAATGAATTAAAAATCAATTTTATTCATTTTAAGTGTTTATTTCTTGAAAAATATCATGCAATAAAAATTCCCAAAAAGTGATAAAATGTCGTTAAATTCCCAATTGTACGGGCCTGGGCCCCATTCCCAAAATGGTGTGGAAAATCCCTGCCTTGGCTACTGTCCTATTAGAAAGGAAGTGTGTTCTTTGAAGGAAAGGCTACTGCAAACACAGTTTAAGCAGCAACATTCATTTCCATACTTACAACCAAAGAAAGCATTTCATTGTTTAATCAAAAGTTTGTCCACAGTGCGTGCGTTGCATTTCTAGCTGCAATAAATGTGTCCTTGAATCACTTCATCTCTCAACCAATATGTCAGGAAAATCTTAATACGGAACTAAGGAATATTTGCATAAAATTTAATTAATTTTGGGTGGAATTTGCGATATTATTTATAAAGGTTATAACATGTTGCAAATGGTAGGATTTTTTTCCTCAAAAATGAATATGAATTATTTTTTTCATATATATTTATTTATTATCATGATAATTTGGTCAGATGTTTGAGTGACAGTGAAGTCAATTAGTCTGAACAATTATATGAAAATAATTTTTTCTTCCCTGTCATTTACATAATTTCATTTTTGGGGGTGAAATAACAATAACATGTGACTGGAAAAATATAATTTTGATTTAACCTTGAGTTTTTAAAAGTAAACCAAGGAACTATGAAGCGAGCATGACCATGCATATAGTATATAAATAAAGTTAAAGTGTTTATTTAGATGAGGTTATACTGGTATACATTTTGAAAATATAAATTAAAATTCATACTTATGTCTGCAATTGTAAAAGACAATTGGATTTTAGATTCTAAAAGGGAAAAAAATGCCTAATGCATTATCAACATTTGTCATAACTCTGAAAGTAAAATAGTTTTAAAAAATACCTGTGAAAGTTTTTTATTTTGCACATATAATAACAATTAAATAGAATTTTTAAGTATTTTTTCTATTATAATCTGCAAAGCCAAAATATCATTTTGATAGAGCTGTTTATTTTTATAATTATCATCTCTGATTTAAACTTGGTATTTTTTAAAATTCATTTTCTACCTTCCTCAGCAAAAGCATAAGGAAGAAACAAAATCAATTTGGCAGAACTAATTAATTTGTAAAAATATAAGATTAAGAACTGTATTTCACATTATACATCAATTATATTAATGATTTAACTTCCCCAACATCTAATCATTATCTCAGGACATGGTTCGTAGTCTGGAGGACTGCAAATTTAGGCAGTGGTTTACTACAATGCATCTATAAATAGGCTTTGAACTTAAAACTCAATATGATATTCTTCTTACAAAAAATGTGTATAACACAAATGTCTGAAAAGGAGAAAACTTCATGAGATTGATTTCCTTTATCATGTTTATGTCTATAAAATTAATGACATGATTCAAAGTTAGCCATAAGGGGGGAATATAGGATTTGATTTACATGATAACTGGTACAGGTGCAATGTACAAGGTTTACATTTAAAAGCAGTGCATTGGCTGTATACATGCAATAAATATGATATTGGTAATGTCTTTAAAATGTTGAAAAAGGTAAATATATATGTACAGGTATACCTTGTTTTAGAAATGTAGTTCTGTTCAAAATTTAAGAAATATTTTATATACCAGAAACTTAAATTTTACGATGTGATGGAAAGGCTTTAACTTTAAAGTTGTAGATGAAATAAAATCCTATTCAATTTAAGTTAGTATGTCATCATGGAAGAGCCATGACTCAAGAAAGTACAGGTTTACAGACTGATTAACAACAATGATTTTCCTAAATATTGAGTAGAAAATATTTAGTAGATGCAAATATATTGCTACTACATAGCTCCTAAAAATGAGGTATGTCTTGAACAGTATGCAAGCTTAGCCATAAAGAGTACAATACCTTCAGTAGATTTTAACCTAGAAGCTATGTTAAACACAGCCCAACTCTCTAAGTTCTTTCATTTTGTTTTCACAGTGCTTATCTTTCTTTGAACCACATCTACAGAGATGACCAAAAAAAGATAACAGAGGATACTCAGAAAAAATTGGAAGACCTGCTACAGGATGTTCAGACTTTTGAGCACACCTGTTTGAGTGCATCAGAGACGGTTCTGGAGGATGTAAAATTTAGGGAGCTGGAGAGAGAAGTGGAGCAGAAGGTCAAGGAGTTCGGTTCTCAACTTTGTCAAATTACACAACAGAGATTGTGACAGACCACCTCAACGAGCAAGGTACATTTGTAAATTCTTAGAAAATCCTCTTTGTGACTGTGTGATTTTCCACACCATTTTGGGAATGGAGCCCAGGCCCTTACAATTGGGAATTTAACAACATTTTATCGTTTTTTGGGAATTTTTATTGCATGATATTTTTCAAGAAATAAACACTTATAATTGATTTTTACATCATCATTCAGAACTATTATTTAGAGAATAGATTAATTATTATGAAGTTTTACTCAAGTTTCCTAAAATTTTGTTCATATCATTCAGATTTCAAACCTCATGACCATGTTTGTTTTACATGAATTTTGATCAAATTTACTTTGTGGAGTTTTGTGCATTCAAAAATTGAACACATGCTGTTCATTTTTGGGAAAAATGGAAGAAATTTGCAATTGGGAATGGGGCCCATTTTAGGGTAGTGGAAAATCCCTGGACTGTGTGCACTAACATGCAAAGCCACGAGCAGGGTTATGAAGCAGGGACTTCAAGGTTCTTTTCAGCCCTGCCCCACCAACTGTAATATATATCTTTCGTCTTTTTATTAGGTCACCTGAGTAACTCAGGTGACCTATTGCTATCCGTTTTCGTCTGTCGTCGTGCGTGGTGTGTTAACATTTGAACATTTTCAGCTTCTTCTCTGAAACCGCTGAACCAATTTCAACCAAATTTGGTATACAGCATCTATGGCTAAAGGGGAACAAAAACTTTGAATTTTACGGTCCCCGCCCCCCTGGGGCCTGAGGGGTGGGGCCAAAACCACCAAAATTATTGCAATCTTTAAAAATCTTCTTCTTTACTCCTGGACATCAAGCAGTCAAACTGTTGGCATGAATGTAATGAGCATTGAGTCCTCTACCAAAATTGTGAAATTCATGGCCCCAGGGTCAGGGGTTCTTGTGCTAGGACGGGGCTATATAGATTATATAGTGAAAATGCATTATTTCTTTGAAAACCTTCTTCTCTGCTCTTGGGTATTAAGTTAACTAACTAAGTACATAGTTATGTTAAGCAAGAGTGCCTCTTCCAAAATTTTGAATTTTTTATGGCCCTAGGGTCAGGGGTTCTGGTGTTAGGGCTGGGCTGAGGGCTCTATTGATCGTATAGTGCACTTGCATTTATTCTTTGAAAATCTTCTCTGCTTCTGGGTATTAAATAAACTAACTAAGCACATAGTTATGACGAGCAAGAGTGCCTCTTCCAAAATTGTGAATTTTATGGCCCCAGGGTCAGGGGTTTCTGGTGTTAGGGCGGGGCTCTATTGATCATATAGTGAAAATGCATTAATTCTTTGAAAATCTTCTTCTCTGCTTCTGGGTATTAAATAAACTAACTAAGCACATAGTTATGATGAGAAAGAGTGCCTCTTCCAAAATTGTGAATTTTATGGCCCCAGGATCAGGGTTTCTGGTGTTAGGGCGGGGCTCTATTGATTATATAGTGAAAATGCATTAATTCTTTGAAAATCTATTCCTTTGTTCCTGGGTTTTATGCCAATGATCCAAGTACATATATATTTGTGATGAAGAAAGGTGCATCTAGCAAAAAGGTTATTTTTATGCCCCTTGGGTTGGGGGTGGGGGGGGGGGTGTAACATACAAAATAAATTAATGCTTTGATATCTGCTTTTTAGTATTAATCAACCATTTTATGATAAAATTTGCAAAATTTTGAAATACAATGTATGTAGCCCCAGGGTCAGTGGTTCCTTTGGGGTGAGGTGCACAACTGGTTATAAAGTGGAAGTGCATTTTATCTTTGTTACTCTGATCTACGTCTGGGTATTATGTAAATAGAGTAAGCATGTTAAGTTTATAATTATGATAAGCAATGGTGCCTCTTTCAAAATTGTGAATTGTGAATTTCATGGCCTCTGGGGTAAAACACGAACCAATTTTAATTATTTGAATGTTGTTACAGGATACTCAGGTGACCTACAAGGCCCGTGGGCCTCTTGTATTCTGATAAAATGATAATTCCAGTGATTTTTGAATTTTATTTTAACAGTTTAAGGAGTTTAGACAGACAGAGAAAAAACACACAATGCACAAAATACGCAACCTTGAAACTAAGCGCTTATGGGCTTGAATTGTATTACCGTTTGCAAAACATGATCTTGTCTACTGAATTCAATTGTTTAATCTAACATACTATTTCTTTAATTCATAAGATTAAAGAAATATGTGTATAAAATAGTCAAGGTAAATTTTTTTCTCAAAATGATTGAAAGATGAAGCTTCTATCTATGGGTAAATTCTGCATTTTGAAAAGTTCATATTGACAGACGTTATATTTTGTATTGTGCACTTAGTACAGGTACAGTATCAAATTTTTCAAGACAAGACGAAGGCCATGGAAGAATATTAAATCAAAATATCAATTAATTTATATATAACCAGGATTTATTTTACCCAATAACAATTAGTTTATATACGATGAAAAAACAGTCAATATTTACAACTGTTTCAAGTTGGCATTAATGAAATGAAAAATAACAGTTCACACAGCTTGCTCTTAAAATGAGAAGTTTAAATGACATTCAAATTACCAACATATATATTCCATATTTTGGAGAAAAAAAAAATTTTGAATTATTTTGAAACTAACCATGTGCTTCAAAGTGCCAAGAAAGGTAACCCAAATATCATAGTATATTTTTTATTACCTTATTTGCACTGGGGTTCCGTAAACTGTATATGACTTTTACATGTGAGAGGAAAGATAACTTCTCAATACTTGCATACCTAGGAGGGTATGGAAAATGCATATTTCTTCTAAAATATTTTTTAATTTGAACCACCAGATATTAATTGGATACCGAAACTTCATAAGAATCCTTAAAAATAAAGATACATAGCGGGTTCCAGTAATTGTTCAACGAAGCCTTTTTCTTTACTCCTCACTAAGATATTAACAGTAGTGAAGGAAAAACTTTGAGAGTACCGAGCAACAATATATTCAAGAAGTGGTGTAAATCAGATGCAGATACTTAAAAATTCCAAGGAACTTTTGGACAATTTTAAATCATAAGATTTTACCAAAATCAACAGCTTAAAAACTTAGGACTTTTTCACTTTATACGCAACCATTCAACACGATAAATTAAAGTCCAGGCTTTTTGATTTCATTGACAACTGCTTTTTCAATAAAAATGGAACTCGTAAACTTTCCTCGATCGTCATTGGTGATTTGGAAAACCCTTTATTTAAAAACATTCTTATTGTACAATTACTCCGAAATTGACATCAAAAAGATGCTTGAGTTTCTGATTGACGATCTATGTTGTTTTTGGAGACCATGGAATTTCCATGGGATTTCCATGGGGGTACCAATTGCACCCCGTTATTAACAGACCGTATATTTTTGTATTTATATGAAACATGATTTGTGCATAATCGTATGCGTGAAAAGAAAAGGAAAACATTGGTATGGCTTCCAACTCGACATTTAGATATATCGACGACATATTGTCAATTATCAGTGGTAATTTCCATTTTTATGTGTATACGATATATCCAGGTGAGCTTGAGTTAAAAGATACCACAGTGTCTGACACATCTTTTTCATATTTAGAAAGACGTTAATGGTAATCTAACAACCAAACTCTATTATAAACGTGATGACTAAACCTTTAACTTTTGTATCGTCAACATCCCTTATAATACTTATGCAGCAATAGACCTTCTTAACGTGCATATGGAGTTTATATCTCTCAGTTGATTCGATATGCAAGAGTATGCTCTATGTATGTACAGTTTCTAAAACGAGGTACATTATTGACAAACAAGTTGATGAAACAAGAATATCGGCAGTCTCGTTTAAAGTCATCATTTGGTAATCTCTATGGTCGATACAAAGACCTTGTCAGCAAATACAATTATTATTAATCATTGAGTCAAATGCTGATTGTCGTTTTTCATACTCATTGTTAGTCCATTATTTATACACTGAATTGACGACGGATTTCTCCGTTATTTCCCGATCATGACAAGGAGCACACGGCAGGTGTACCGGTCTGCAGGAAATGCTCTCTCCTCCGTGGCACTGGATGCTCCGCCTATATCTCCATATTTCATTTTAAACCAAGGTATTCTTATCAATTGACGTATGACCCAAACACCGATAACTATATATGAGTTATGAGTTAAACGTCTCCCCGTTTATTGGTATCAAAAGAAGTTTTAAAAAAGATATCGTGTTTGCACATCAATGACATTGTAGGAATTTAAATACATTGACGATTTTTTTTATTCTGTTGCTAGAATCGATCGCTGCTATCAATACTCTGATTAGTCAGTAGTTTAGACATGAGGTTCTAGTGTACGGCAGTTTTCGGGTTGATATTAGGATAAATGAATTGCATATAGATAAATGTAAGTGACTTTTTGATATCTCATTGATTTAAGCTCTGTTGTTGCAACATCTTTTTGTAATTGCGAGACATGTAAACGTATGGAATATTTTTACCACTAGACGGTTCCATGTTCGCATTCTTCATTCAATATAGTTATTTTACCGTTTCAGGATGCCTAGGGCATGAAATAGTTTTCATAATGCGTGCTGTACTAAATGTTCAGTAATTACCAGTTATTGAATTATTTTCTGGGGCCCGTTTTACAAAAAAACTTACGATTAAGACCAAAAATTATTCTGCATATAACTTTCTTATTTCAATTAAATTGAAAATGGTTTTAAACCTTTTAAAAGGAATGTAGGCTGATATTTTCATGATAGCAATTTTAAAGTCAATGATTGATTTTGCAAATTTTTACAATCAACTGAAGTTTTTAGTCTCAGTCCTAACTTTTGTAAAACGGGCCCTGGTCTTTAGATTTCCGTGTTTGCTTTTCGCGACATTGATTTAATAAAGAATTCCTGGTTAATAATCAATTTAATGTTCGGTTGCCTTGATGTATAATAGCATTGAACTAGGTCTGGATACTGCTTTTTTTTAGGAACGTTAAAACGAAAGTACTGATACACAATCCAGTTGAGCTCATTTCCATTGTTTTTGTAATGTGTATATATTTTTTTACCCAAAATTTTTCAAGAAGTATGATCTAATTTTTTGTACATTTTCATAAAATTTTGCAGTTCTATAGTGTCAACAGTTTGTTGAATGTTAAAGTCTAGAATATTCTTTTGAAGACACACAAGTCTTTCATCATGATGGTAGTTTCGAGAATTCGAATATTCTTTAGACACATTTATGAAGCACGGCTCAAGTAATTTTTTTCTTTTATTGTCAACTCCCCAAAGCCAATAATATATCATAAATTCATTTGTTAAGTAGGTATTTTAAAGAGGAAAACGAATTCTGTTTCAATATTGGCTTAGCCACAATACTCAAAATTATAATAAGAGCTTTGACAAGGTTGCGAATTCTTTTAGTTTAGAGAAGTATAAAAAAAAAAAATGGAGAGTGAATTAATTTCTTGTCAGAGTGATTTTTTTTGTCGCATTAAATTGGCGTTAAGATTTATGAGTAAGTTACTTATATACATGTATATAAAAAGAAAACCGAACAAATGCCGTTCGATTTCTTGTGAACTTTACCTGATTAAAAAAATGAATTCTAAACTATAGTCCTAAAAATCTGACGTTTTCCTGGTTTTTTACGATTTTGATATTTTACATGCCAGGAAATCGTAAAAAAAAAAAAGCCAGGAAAACGTCAGATTTTTCGGACTACTTTAACTGGAATACATTTTAGAAAATTGCTACACTCTGGAAATTCTTAATTTTAACATATTTTACTGTTATTACCAGGGTAATATATTTTTATCACAAACGGTTCAAAAACAACTGCTAATAACTTCCAGATTCTAATCTTAAATGGATACAGTATAGAAATACGTTAGGAGTGTTCCATTCCCGTAGCTAATGCATGAGTTCTGTACTGGTACTTCTTTAAGATATTGCTGAAAAATTTCATGATCAACTGATCATGTAATGTCTTCATGTGTAACGTGAGCAAAAGTACATAAAAACACAACAGAATTAATGACATCATTTATCATGATGATTTACAGATAAAAACCAAGTTTAGTGTAAAAAAAAAAAAAAACTTACTGGTCACCAGTGGCTAGTGCGTGTAATGTAAAATGTCGACAAAACCTGATAAGCCATAGAGGAGAAAAAATAAACTAAAAACCAAATAAAAAAGAAAATAAATAAGCATAACATGTAATTTTATTATGCGCTTATAATGAATTTGTGAATCCATGTCACTGACCTAGTTTTATCGGTCGCCGTAATGGGGGGAGGGAGTATTACGCTAGGACGGAGGGTGATTTGTTATGTAGTGTCCCAGACAGCGGAAGACGGACACTCACCTGTTTACCTGTCCTCCAATTAACATTAATTTGCAAATAGAAAATTCCCTGTGGTTTTAGGTAATGTATAAAAAGACCTTGAATTTGCAGTGGGAACGTCCTTAGCAGCCATCAATCTAACCTTGGCATTGGGTAAAAAAATGTCTCTTTACAGATGCAGTGTTTGAAACTTTCCGAATTTTGGAACATAGAAGAATTAAGGGTCTCACAAGCTTGCTTATGCAGGGTTGTCCATAGGATTTGAAATAGAAGGCTACATTTAAACAGTAATACGGGATTTATGCTTCCTTTCCTAATGGGGAGTTCAGGAGGAATATCAAAATAACCCGGGGAATACATCATTATAGGCAGAAAAAATTCCTGGCCCCCAGGTCTTATGAACAAATCTGCCTATGTACTATAGTTAACTATTTAAAAAAAAGAATGAGCACAAACTTCTTTAGACTATGTGCCATATTTATATTTCAAAATGCATCTTATATATAAATTCATAAAATAGGAAAGTATGTGCCAATTGTTTTTCGAAGTGAAAAGAATAGCATATTTGACGGAATTCCACCTTAACTGAGGGTATTTTTTTTTATTTTATTTTTGGGGGGTACCCCCTCTTGTCATTGGTAGTTAAACTTTAACGAATTTAGTGCTGACATTAGACAAACATCATTGTTAGATGAAATATAAATGGAGGTAACGTACAGTATTCAAGCTCAAAAGTCCATTAAACAATACAAAATAAAAGCGTAGCAAATAAGGACCTCCAAAACGTCAGAAGTGGGATCAGGTGCCATGGAGAAGTGGACCTCCCCTGCCGACGGGTCACACCCGCCGTGTGCTTTTTGTCATGATCGGGGAATGACGGAAAAAACTGTCGGCAATTCAGTGCGTATGTAATGGCATAACAATTTGTTGGAAAAGGTCATTCAGCAAAATGCTTAATGATAAATTGTATATGCTGACAAAGTCATTGTATCGACTATTGAATTTACGAAATGGATATTTTAAACGAGACTGTTGATATTCTTGTTTCAGCACGAAAACTTACCTCATTTAAAAAAAGAAAATGTTTATAAGTGGAGAATGATCCTGCGTATCGAATCACTGAGAGATATAAGCCTCATACGTAGGTGATGAAGATCTGAAATGTAACTATCAAAAATTAAACTGTTCTGATTTTTATATCAAATATGGAGCCAACTCTGGTAGTAAATATATCCTGACCTTTATATGAGATTTTGACAGATTTTTAAAACATTTTTTCCGAGCAACATCAAAGTTCGGACAAGTTACGTGTATATATATTTATCATTTGACATATAATAACGGATATGTGCATTAAATAAACCTGTTTGTAAAATATTTTTTATATTCCCAGGTTTTCTTTCTAAGCCTTGGGTAAATAGAGATACAAATATACAGGATGATGAAAACAGATGATAGTTTCTACCTTACCAGAAACATAATTTCAATCAGCTTAATAATTAGTGTTATAATTTCTAGATTTCATAATGGGAAATGGCCCAAGTACTGGGGAGCTGTTCGTCTCCAATGACTCCGATGGCGATGCCTGGATCCTTCTGACGCCCACCAAGGACTATCCTCTGACAGGATATTTTGCAAAAGACTCTGAACTGTCCAATTTAGTCAGAGCTGGAGTTACAGTCGATAAAGCTGTAGACTTGTTTAATGCCTGGACAAAGGGAAAATGGGAAAAGAAAGAAAAAGGCAAAATTACAGCCGCCATTTTGGATTTTTTCAAAAACACAGGTTTACATTTGACTTTCGGTTTTGCACGTGATGTTTACGATAAAAGTCTCTGTAACCCTTTGCATTATTTGAGTGCTTATGGGTGGGGGGTACTGAATAATTCTGAGGAAATGTGCGTCACGGTTTTATTGGAGACACCCAATGGGGAATTAAAAATGGCACAGTTCAGAACGCTTAAAAACTGGTCCTGGGTCGTAAATTGCAAGTGCGTGACACCTACGAAGGGGGGAACACTGTGGGAGAAGAGGATCCCCACGGGATACCCGTTGTTGGATTTGGATATAAAGGATGATTAATTTCTTTATTAACACATTTGCCTTAAGTAAAATTACAAACTTGTTACATTTATTGATATAGTTTGTTAAATTGTATTGATGATTGTTATAGATTTCTATTAATAAATATATAGTCATTTAAAGGTACATTTATTTAAAATCAGATGAACTATATGTTAAATAAAAATTGCTGATTTGTCAAACGGTTAGAAGTATTCATTTTTTACTAAGTTTTAAGATATTGTTTTCACACTCATGCGCATCAATTCTGACAGAAAGGATACAATTCCATGTAAAGCTGTTGGTCATTTGGATCAGATGCAGACTTACTTAAGGAATAACTGTCTTATTTTTCGATTTCATTATGTGATCAATCGATTGGCTTGCGTGATAATTTGCATACGCAAGCCATTCGATTGATCATCGTCATGAAATTGAAAAATCTGACAGTTATTCCTTATATTTACATGATTTGATTCCGCCAATCCACGTGCTTCAAGCCCTACTTCTGTCTAGCTGTTTGTCCCGCCCTGCACGTGGTTTTTTTCGAACCGCGCCAATACATTGATGGGGAAATAAAGTACATGTACAATTTGTAATTTTATCTCGGACAAAGACATTGGAAATGTAAATATTAGGTTATAAAACGAGAAAGAAGGGGAAAACTTAAGAACCTTTAAAATGATTGTTTTTTAGTATTTTTTTTCAAAATGTTTTAGGGCCACTAAGTCAAATCAAGTGTTGTCAGTTTTGTTCAAGAAACCACTGACCACTGGCAGCTTAAAGGCATTACTGTTTTGCATTTTCTTTATTCATATTTATGTGATAAGTGATAACTAGCTAGCTTATAATTTCTTTCAAGAATTTTTCAAATTTTGCTTTGTTGAAACCATGAGTCCTTGACACATAATGGAGGGTAGGGGTGATAATTTGTTTAATATATATTTTTTTGGTGAATTTAATAAATGATCGATTAATTTTCTTATAGATAAAACATATATTGGAAATAACATTGGGTAATTAAAATATGACAGCTTATTTAGAACACAGGTTTGTTCAAGCATTCGCTCTAGAAAACGTCGCCGTATAGCTGCTATTAGCCCTTGGAGTGACACTGCCCAGCCAAGACGAAGTGTTCACTATTATTTTTCTTTGTAACTAATTAGTTTATAAACGATCATATCTTTCCTTTTTCGGAATATTGTATAAAAAATAGATCATTCAAAATGCATTTTAAAACAAATATTTCGCATCTTTTTTGTTGAAACCTTGCAAGAATCCTTGACGCTGTGCATGCTGATTCAAAATGAAAAACCATATAGAGAAAGACTGTTACAGTGTACACATTTACAAATTAAGGTGTACCCATTGACATTATTTCAAGGACGTTGAAAGACCACATGCACTTTTCCCCATCGAAATATAAACTTGCCTGAAAAATGTGATAGCGGCTCTTTTACTATTGAATGCCCTTGATCTTTTAATTCTATCCTGAGGTGAAAAAATGTATGATAAAACATTAAATAGAGTACTCATCTAGGATAGACAACAAATATGATAGTCATGTGTTTTTCATTTGCCTCAGTGCTTCATTTTTTTTCTTTATACGTACCTAGCTACTTTATAGCGGTTATTAAACGAATACTTTATAGATACTACTACATTATGCTATACAATTAACTTTGTATTAATGCAGGTTTTATGCTATGAATATTGTTACTGATGAAAATCTTCATGTATAATGGGTTCAGTATATGAATTCTTATAGCTGATAATACCTTTTGTTTACAAACAAAAAAATATACATGTGTACTATTAATTAATTGAAAAAAAAACAATTTGGGTCAACTTAAGGGCACATTAGCAAGAACGTATGAAACATCACATGCACTTCTATGAATTTTCACATTTTTTATGAATCTTATAAGAAGTTTATCTTAGTTCTATCCCTCACAACCACGGTCAACACGAAAAGACTGCACAATGCTAATGTATACTAAGTACCAAGATTTCCATGTGACCAACAACTGGGAGACACAGAGAAGTCACCAGTTAATCCCAAGATAATATCATAAGATGAGCAAGTATGGAACGAAATGCATCAAACGATCCGGTTTTCATATTGAATTTTAATTTGGCGCCAATCATTTTGATCTAGGACCTTTTATACACTAAAGAACTAACACTCCTCTTCGATGTTCAGAATAATACCAACTGTTGTAAATGTGGTATAAGGTATATATACGCATGATGTTTCTTTGTAATTATTGTTGTGTTTTTTTTTTGTTTTTTTTTGAAATTCAAATATAAAATTCAAAAACCTGATGTGCAAAAGGGTCATATAAGTCGATATTACAACTTGATAAATGACAATTTGAATTAAATATTATAACATGAAATTGTATTTGGCTAATTTGCCGCATTATAAAAAATGCTCATCCAATGAATTAAGAATGCGTTCCTTTTAGTTTGTTAATTATAAAAAAAATTACAGTAAACCCAAAGACACCTTATCAAGGACATAGGAAAGATCATATGATGTTCTTTCTCCCATTTATTAACTTGCGTGAAAAATACACGATAGTGGTTTTTTTAAAAATGTTGATTTCTATCACTAAAAATGCATTAAATGCTCTGATCATTTCTATTCTTATACCTAAAGGGATGGAGAAATTTATGAATATTCTTTTAAGACAGTAATTTTGCGAGAAATATGATACTTTTATACAATTAATTCACTGTTCTTAATGCCTCAATGCACAACGGACATTGTCCGAATATTCTTCAGATACTAATACCTAAAGTTACATTATTTCTGTATGAAGACAGATTTTGTGCAACGGAATACTATTCCAGTGTTCAGTTTACAAAATTCTGATATTTAAATACCTCAACCTTTATATACACCACGTTTCACCCGAAAAGAGAACACATTCTGTGTTCTGTATGCCAAAAGTTCTTCATATAAAGATATACAAAAAGATGAAGTGTTACAATGGTCATTTAGTGATCCGTTTTTCCAAATTGTATCAAGTTTAGCAATTATTGGATGAAACACGTACAAAAAAGTTGACAAACATATCACTTTACAGACACCATTAATAAGCTGAAGGAAAGCATTGAGAGAGTAATGATATCTTCTTCCTATTCGATGCCTAGTTGATATGATCGGCTGTGAACAATAGATGATACACGTGCAATATTGAATTTTGAAATTCAAATCCCGCCTTCCCTACCTATCGTAAAAAAAATATGGTACTAAAAGGAATCCTTAAATTCATCAAACCTTGAGTAGCTAAAATGTCGTTTGATTCGATATTATGCCTTCATACATGACAAGTATGAATAAAATACATGTACCGGGTATTACATTGTTTTCAGCATAGAGACAAATGATGACTTTGTAAATTTTGGCTGACGTTTAGTTTTTTTTACTTCATTTCATTTACACATTTGGGTGAACCTAAAGCTATCTTTATCAAGAACGGAGGGAAGTTCATTTTATGCACCTTTTCCCATTAATAAACGTTAAAACTTAACGATTGTTGTCCTTTTGGCGGTCTAGATCTCGATTTTCATAACCAAAAATGTATTAAATGCTCTTAACATTTCAATTCTTGCACCTCAAGGGATGACGAAATTTATTATTACCCTTTATTTGGATAAGTTTGCATTACTAATCTTAATTAGGTGAAAAATGTGATACCTGTTTTCAGTTGGCCACTTTACTGTCCTTAATTTTTCATTTAAACCGGACATCGACCGAATATTTTATGGAAACAAATTTAAACTACCTAACTTCTGTATCTATGCAGAGTTAGTGCAAATAAATAAATTTTCTTATGAAAATTTTCTTTAAATGGGGTCAGCTTAAGTTCAAGGGAATCTTTTCGTAAATATATTGATATCTTTTTCATCAACATAAAATATTAGAAATTTTAAAAGAGAATTAATTTGTTAATTTTTATTTAAATATATGTTTAATGCCTTATTGTTAAGTTTAGGAAAACTATTCAAAAATGAAATATTTGTAGTAATTAAAAGAAAATTATGAGTATTGCAAAAATTGGCTTGAATTGTTTTATTTCGGGGAAAATATTTCAGGGTCCTATTGAATGGGAGATTCGAATGGGGTCTGGACGCACAATTTGGGAAGAAAAAAAAAATCTGCCAATTCTATTTATTTTTATTAACGATACTAAATATAGTACGACAATCGGGATGGCTGCAGTTTATCCATTTTCATCGTTCCTTATTTATGTGCTGTGTAATATTCCTGTACATGTAGTTTAGGTCTCCAAACTTTTTCAATACTCAAGGGCTTACTCTGAAGACGATCAATTTGCAAGGAAAAGAAGACAATTTTCTTTCAATATCCGGCTATAAATTACAACATTGTTCAGACAGTATAAATACCGACAATGTTCATCTTTTTTGTAAAAAGTCATCATTTCGTAAGTTCTATGGTCTTTCATGACAAGAAGCACACGGTGGGTGTGATCAGGAGGGGGGGGGGCAATTAAATCATTAACCGTCTTTGGAAAGATCGATCATTGGGTCATTTTCTTTCCCAAATGAAACTGATACTAAGAGGAATTCTGTTTGTTTTAAAAATCAGAAGCATGGAGGTTGCGTTTTTCTTGCTGTTTGCTTACTTGATTTACAGACACACGGGGAATGGACTTCCACCCTGTCCCTCAACCTCGACCTCAAAATGCATTTTTAAGGTCATACGCAACATACATGTAGTTTGAATTTTATTGGGTTTTTCCCTGGAGTTGAAGAGTTCCACTGTATGAAGGACCCGTGTGCAATACTTTTAATGTCTATATATGGATTTGTACATCTCTTCTAAAACAAATTTTGATGGAAAAATATATGGAATGTATGTTTCGTAATTTTTTTTTTTTTACATTTTTCTTTGAATAATGCAAAAATGTTCATAATTTATTTTTTTTTTCAAAACTCCTGGTAACACATGCTGATTTATTGTCTAAGAACATGTAATGGTATTATAAGTTTAAATTATGAATATCTTGAAAAACTGTCAGTAGGTAATGTACCTTGCATTGCGTATGTCCTTAAATAAAAAAAATTACAAGTACTAGTATACAGTGTACTAGCTTATTCTGCGGTCAACTTCTTTAGTGCAGAACTGGATTCAGTTAATGCAATAGCAATGTACGTTTTCAGTTTTGTTGTTTTTATTCGAGAGATCGAGGGAAATTTATTGGATTTAAGGACCAGTCTTAAAAGCCTCTAAAAAGATTATTTGACATGAAATATCAAGGAAAATAAATGAAGTATTTAGGAA